ACCATATATATATATATATATATATATACCACTCAGTTCAGTCTGACCTTGCCCTTGCCTGGTCTCCCTGCTAGTGCTTTCCTGCTGCTCTGAGTATCCTTATTCTGTGTATGACCCGATCCTGGCTGACGTTGTCCTCCGGCTACTGCCCCTGGCTTGTTCCTGTCAACAGTAGTTAAGTGATGGGAATATGTGTGATCCGGCTAATGGGATGGCAGCTTCCACAATCCAAAGATCTAGAACAGTATCCTTGGCTCGACAGCAAACACAGTAGATGTAGGAATTGAAGTGTCGCTCCAATTATAACAGTTCAGATACTGAAGATTCAGATACAGAAACTTTATTCCATTAGGGTCAGGGTACATTCAAGTAGAGTAGCTACTGCATTTCGGGAGTCCAAAATGCACCCCACTTCATCAGGGCTGGAATAAAGTTGTATCTGGACTATTTTATTGGTGTGGCTCTTCGATTCCTACATCTACTGTGCTCTCTCAGACTGAAAGTCAATAAAGAGATTTACAGAGCAAAGAGAGGTGGAGATATCAGTCCCTCCCGAGACTAATTTCCTAAGTCCAACTTAATGATAACAAAATAAGGATCTACTCTTCGGCTCCCTACACCCGGTTCTCGCTTTTTTTTTTTTTCTTCAACACCGTCTCCACCACTGTTCTTCCACTTCCAATCCAGAGTGTGACTGTGGTGGAAGGAGAGTAATGGTGCACACGTGTCACATTTGTTTGTTGCATGCTACCACTACTGGGCTGTAACCAAATCTCCTGTAGTTTTCTGAGCACAGGAGACACGGCTTTGACTGCATCTAATGGGAGTAAGTGGTAGGAGGAGGAGGGGGAGGAGGAGGAGGATAAGGGGAAGAAGGTGAAGAAGACAAACAGGAATGAAAAAGAAAAAAGAAAGAAAAGTAGAAGATGAAGCAGAAGAACAAGGAAAAGGAGAAGGTGAAGAAGAAAAAGATGAAGGATAAGTAGAAGATGGAGAAGAAGGAAAAGCAGAAGATGGAGATAAAGGAGAACGAGAAGGAAAAGGAGAAGTCAAAGGTGATGCAGAATGAGAAGAAGAATAAGGATAAAGTGCAGGTGAAGGAGAAGAATGAAGTAGGGGAAGCAGAAGGTGACGGAGAAGGAGAAGCAGAAGAAGAATGACTTCTCCTTATTCTTGTTCTCCTTCACCTTCACCTTATTCTCATTCTGCATCACCTATGACTTCTCCTTAAAAGGTGATACTCAATGTGAGGAAGAATATGGATAAAGAGAGGTAGAAGGTGAAGGAGAAGAAAGAAGAAGGAGAAGTAGAAGGTGAAGGAGAAGAAAAAAAAAAGAAAGAAGAAGAGAAAAGAATTAAGAAGGAAGAAGAAAAAGAAGAAGGAGCAGCAGAAGGTGGGGAAGGGAAAGAGAAAGATGGGAAGGGGGTCTGGGGGGAGCAAAAAACACCAGTGAAGCTGTAGTTGGGCATTAATATAATATTCAGCTATCAAGACCAAAACTCTATTAATATTCAATGTTCACGCAACAGGAGTGAAAATCAGATACTGGTCAACACAACATTCCAACCGAATGGTAAAACCCTCTCTGCAAAGGTTACTAAGACAAATTATAGTACTATATATAACAATAGTTGTTACCGTTCAAAACATAACACAACAATTTCAGTCACCTACAGCCCACAATGTTCATCATGTTTTGTGCAGCAATTTGCAATTTTAAATAATAATCAGCAAGATCCCAAACAATGTATCAATCTAAAAGCATAGAGCGCAGGGGATACATGTACTCAGACTTTGATGGTATCACTAAATACACAATCTGCTCATCATCCCAGGGATTCATCATCTCACCTACACTGGAAATAGGACAGCTGCTGTCGGGAAGTGTTTGTAACTTTTACAAGCCACAGATTCTTCATGTAAAAATTTAGAGCTCTACACCACCTAAAATTGTTCATCTGATCATGGCTGCGGGCGAGCCGAATCACATTCCGGTTTCTTAGGTCTCTTGGGGACTCCAGCCGCGATATCTTCTCACCAGAGTTCTCAGCTCCAAAGATGTAGCTCAGCCGGCTGCTGTGGAGCCCAGGGGAGAAGAGGGGGGACTCACCTCCCTTGGGTCAGCAGCAACCACCACCTTCCTCCAAACTTTCCTGGCAACACTTTATGTTCACCCCACTGCATGGAAGAATGATTTATTAAAGTAAAGTAAAACTCTACTTTGGCTAACGAGGTAAAAC